GGGGGGGGGGCGAGTGGCTGCCTTTGTTCTCCTTTTCGCCAGCGGAGGTCAGACGAGGCAGCGAGCGGGGAGAAAAGCCAAAAACAACAGAAAAGCCCAAGCACCCAAAAAAAGCCTACCTGTACACCAGTGTATACTACTGCCTGCCTGCCTGCCTGCCCGCCTGCCTGCCCGCCCCTGTGAGGCTGATGTGTTCATTCGTGTCTGAGTGCTATTTTTCCTGTGAGGCTGATGTGTGCATTCATGTCTCAGTGCTATTTTTGGTATGGTGGCGGCCGCGTGTGTGTGGATGGGCGCTGCTGCATGTCTGTCTGCGGATGGCTGGTGGCGGGTGGGTGTGTGTCGGTGAGCCTGAGCTATTCTTCGTCTGGCTGAGGTTTGTAAGTGTCTTGAGGGCGTGTGTGTCCGTCCGATCGGGGTGAGTTTTGGCTAACTGGCTGGCTGGCTGGCTGGCTGGCTGGCGTGTGTATGTATGGTCCGTCCACTTGTCCACTTGTCCATCCATCCATCCATCTGCTGGCCATTTCACCTGACCCTGGTGCGCACGACACGACGACACACACGCACCACATCAAGACACCTGTCGGTCATCCACTGCTTTGTCTGTCTGTGTGCGCCTCAGGTGTGCAGTGGTGAGGCTGCTCCCGATCGATCGCCCCTTCTGGTCTGTCCGTGTCTTCCTCCGTTCGCTGCGGTCCATTTACCCCGACTGGTAAGTGTCTTGACGTCATGGCGAGACTGACGGGCAGGCGGAGGGCCACGTGTACATGGAGGGATGTGATGTGTGTGGCGCTGACTGACGTGTGCAGGTCTTTTCAGGTGGGCTTTGCACCCGCAGCCCACACAACACAACAAAGGAAGCGAGCCACTCATCGGGAACACGAGTGCCGAGGGGCGGACGCCGCCATTCACCCAAGGTGAGTGAGATAGATGCCAGCCGGTCCATCCACCTTTGTGATGTCTGGGTGGCTCCTTTCTCCCTCAGTTGTGTAATGCTTAACTAACGAAGCCAACAGATATGCACCTACCTGAAGCAGCCCACTGGCCCTACCGGTAAGTAAGGTTCGCACACAGATAGATCGACCGACCAGCCGTGTGGATCGAACCGCTGTGCTCGTCTCTCTCTCTCTCTCTCTCTCTCTCTGTGTGTGTGTGTGTCTGTGTGTGTCTGTGTGTGTGTGTGTGTGCCAGGAGGAAGCCACCACCATATATACAGTACCGTTGCACTGATCTGGCCCGCGTGTGCTGAGCCGCGGACCCCCGCCCTACTCGACTCACCCAGGGTGAGAGAATGAGATGTCAGCCAGCCCAACAAGTCGTTAGTCTACTTACCAATCACCTGAGTCTTGCTGCTGTTCGTGCCTTCGTTTCTTTTTTAGGCTGACTACACATAGTAGTTCATTGTCAACGAAGCCGCCACAAAGTACACACACTGTAGTCACCCCCAAATGACCGCCCCGCCCCGCCCCGCCCGACCGACCCCTGTCTACCCCGGTCAACAACTCAACGACCTTGACAGATACCAAAGGTAAGTTAGTTGAGGCAGGCAGGCAGGCAGGCAGGCAGAGAGCTTGCAGTGCAGCGCCACTGTTGACACGTTCTTTCTGTCTGTCTGTCTGTCTGTCTGTCGGTGTGTGCAGTCTGCTACTTGTCCATCAAAGGTGAGCTCTCAGTCAGGCAATCGACACACACACACATATACACACGGAAGAGCCCATCAACGTCAAGTCAATGTTTCCTCACTTCAGATGACACTTATGTATTGACTTAGCGAAGCCCCGCCCGACCCCCATGTATGTATATATCCCGCTATACCACAGCGGTGAGTGAATGGGTACCCCTCCCCCCACCCCACCCACACTCGTGCATGGCTCGTGTGTCTCTCTGTTGCCCTCGATGCACTCACCCAGATGCCCCTCCACACACATTCCTAGCTATTCCTGCTATCCGCCCCGCCCGCCCCCCACCAGCCCCCCCACACGCACAAGAGCAAGAGGTGCGCCCGCCACCGACCAGTCGATGTGTGTGTTATGGATCCACTTGTCGTGTCCTTCAGGTGCTTTCTGTCTCATTTCACCTCACCAAAGCCGCCCACCTCTGACTGGCGACGCCCCCTTTGGCTGCCTCCGTGCATCTGACGGCTGCTGGCTGGGAGACGGGCTGGACACTGTGGATGCTGCCACGAGCGCGGCGCCGGAGCAGCCGACGGTTTCGACTCGGCAAGCGCCCTCCCCGAGCCGAAGAGGCGCGGCGCATTCCATCGCTGTCGAGGGGCCCGACAACAACATGTGTACCCAATTACCGAGCCGAGGCGGGATGATACGGGCGAGGCGACCTGAAGAGGGTACGTGAGCGGGCACTGGACTCAGCCAGGCAGTGCCCATCGGTGGGCTCACGTGTGTCTCGTGTGTGTGCCTTGGCAGGTGGGCCATGTCAGTCCGCCGTCCGAGCCAGCCCACGATGGGCGGGGGAAGGCCGTTTTGGCCGTATCCCGTCCATCGAGAACGGATGGCTCAGACGATCGTCTCTCTCGCCCACCCACACACACATGCCCATCCTCGAGGGCGAGCTCACGACCGTCCTCTATCTACCAACGGTGAGTCCGACACAACACAGAACAGCCGACAGGACGCCATCAATCTCACCTCCTTCTGTTTGTCTTCTCTGCAGTGGCGTATACCGGCCGAAGTTCCATTGGCGCGACGGCTTTATACAACAGATTCTACGACAGAGGTAGGGATGCTGGGAGTCAACACACGCAATGTGCAATGTGTGTGTGTGGGTGTGTGCAGGTGTCACGACACATGCGCAACGAAGCCATGAAACAAACGACAAACACACGGATAACGCCACGCCCTGCCAGCTGCAGTTGTCGGTGAGCAATCAACCACCCCCCCACCCAACCACACCAGACCATACCAGACACAAATGTGCCTGTTGGCTTTCAGGCATTCTTGAAGGCCGCCGCTGCTTTGCCCTCCTTCTGGCCATCTACAAGAGAGCGGCTACCTTCGCGGAGGGGCGTAAATCGGCTGCCGCTCGGCTATGGCAAGTCATTCCTTCGGGACGCTCGCCTTTATTTGGCCGGACGGCAGCTGTTCTTCGCCATCGCTGTGTCCTTCTCCCGCCACCCCAGGCCGCTCCCTCAGGGCCCTTCTCGTCTGGGTAAGTACCTACGCATACACCAATATGCCGCTCATCACAGACAGACAGACAGACAGACAGAGGGAGACATCGGTCGACCTTTCTGTCTCCTTTGTGTGCAGGTTAGTAAGCCGCCCACTCCCCAGTGAGTGGAGTGGTCTTGAACACCTTGACGAGGGGGCCCACAGAGACAGACAGTGTGTCTGCCTGTCTTCCACACACACGGTGACACACACGGCCGTCCCTAAACACGCCCCACGTCTCCTCGACGCCCTCATATCCGCCAAGTATATACATCCATATGCCCAGATATCAACGCATGGTGAGTCCGATGGAGCACAGAACAGACGACAGAAACCAATACATTGTCGCATCTGTGGGTGTTTGTGGTGGCGTGCAGCGCAACGAAGCCATAGTGGGTGAAGCCATCTTGCGTGTCTCTCATGGGTAGCGAAGAAGCCATTCATCCATCGAGCGACGCATTCTTGTGCGGACGTCACTCCACCACTGGTGAGCAGCCAGCAGTCGGGCGGTCACATACACACACACACACACAAACACACAGGAGACAGCCCGCTCATGTGTCCATCGACCCATGTCTCCACGTGTAGGCGATTAGATTATATCGGCCGTTTCCGTCACGTCAACTAATGGACGACTTTGTTGGCTGACTCGAGGGCCCTCCTCGTCTCGGTATGTCCGGATGGCAAAGACGAACAGACACACAGACGAACAGACACCCAACCACCGATGTGCTGTGTGTCTGCAGGTTAGTAAGCCGCGCACTCCTCAGTGAGTGAGTGGTCTTGAACACCTTGACGAGGGGGGCCACAGAGACAGACACACTGTCTCATCCCCACACACGGCCGTCCCTAAACACGCCACGCCTCCCTCGACCTCAGCGTGCCCATCCATCGGTGAGCAGCCAGCAATTTGCCAACAACACACCCACACCAGGCATTGTCTGCAGGCCTGCCTGATCTGTTTGGGTGCCCTCCAGGGACGCGTCCTGTTTGTCGACCGAAAGACGTTGACCCGAAACATCGCCACGGCATGCGATTCGATAGAGGTACGGTGCGAGCACACGAGGGTACTGGGAGCACACACACACACACACACACATTGCAGTGCATCCCATGGATGTGTGTGTGGGTGCTGGTGTGCAGCTGCGTAACGAAGCCGTAGTCAAGCCATCACCACCACACTACCTTCCCTACCTATAATCCCCCGACCCACCGGACCACACAAACTGGTGAGCAGCCGAGCTGGCACACACACCCACACCCACTCACACAGATCAGATCAGATCAGACCATGTCTTCTGGTCCCGCTTTCAGACGTTCTTCTCGATAAATTCTGTTGTCGGGAGGCCTGTTGATCAGAGGCCTCTCGATACCCAACAAAGGCACATCAGGTGTGCTTGCACACACACGCTCATGTGGGACGAATACCCTCACACACATATTGTTCTCTCTTGCCCCTTTGTGTGTGGTCAGGTTGACGACATACGACACGGGCGGACTGCCGGCTGACACACAAACGGGCGATCGGGACAGCACCCACCCACCCAGTGCACCAGGGGATACAGACATGGCACTATACATGGATGGATGGATGGATGCTGGGATGGATGCCTTCGCCTCTAGTCGTCTGGCTGTTCGTATGTGGGGTCCGTGTGTCGCTGAGAGAGAGAGCGGCTCTTTTCCATGGATGTGATTGGCTGCCTCCGTTGCTGTGTATTTATAAGTGTGGTGCATTCCCTGCCCGCGACTGACGCTCGCAAAGCGAGCCGATGTCGCTGCCACGGGCAGACTGACTTGCGCAGTGCAGTGTTTCCACCCCCCGGCCTAGACACACATGGTTGCTGGCTGCGTGGTGTGTGCTGGCTTGTGTGTGTGCATACTTGCGTGTGTGCGTGCGTGTCCATTGATGGGATCGGTGCATGTGGCCGCCACCATACCTCCGTGTGTGACTCACTTGGGTGTGTACAGCGATGCATGCAATGCACTCACTCACTCACTCAGCCATTATATATGTCCATGACTCACTCACTGACTTTCTCGTGATGGTACGTACGTCAATGTGCGTGTGTGTCCGCATGTGTTTGTGTGTGTGTAAGGATCATTTACTACCTCCCAGGCAGCCAGCCATCCACGCGGGCGTCACACTCGCTCCACACACCAGGCGCGTTGCAACAACGCAGGTCTTTTGCCCTTTGCGGGAGTGCAATCAGTTCCTCCGCCAGAGCTGACTGACTCACTTTGCCGCAGACAGACAGGAGCCCTCTCCGCAGACAGATTTTGCTGGCCCCAGCATATATCAGCTGTACTCACCCCATCACCCCATGATCAGCTGTGTGTGTGTGTGTGTGTGACTCGTGCTCAACTTCTCGTGCTGCTGGCATGTTCTGGTGTGTCGGCTTGTGTCATTGTGTTTCTCTGCAGGTCGGCTGGCGTGGCGGCAAAGCACTCAGGTAAGTGCGCAAGAGAGGTAGCACAGGCACACACACAGACACACGAGGAGGCCTGCGTGGGGCTACCCATGGCTTAGTAACTTGACGAGGGAAAGGGACTTGGCGAGGTGCGTTCATCGATGCGAGATAGATGACTTTGCATGTGTGATCAGTGCAAACACTTGGTTCTCTCGATGAATGAATGGCTCTGCTGCCCCGCAACACACATACGGGCGGGTGGATGAGATAGATGGAGGGGCGGAAAGCCCGTATGTGTGTCTGTGTTGATTAGCGGCAAACTCTCTCGGACTGTGATCTGACCTGACTGAATCAACGCACATAGCCTAGTCAGCATCCCCGCACCACCGCCTCCACACGCCCATGTACTTGAAGGTGTGTACTTTGGCAGGTGCGTACGGACGGGTGTGTGGATGGTATGGACGAATCGATGAACGAACACGGCTGGTATATCGACTTATTGAACTCGATCAAGTCCACCGGCATGGCATTCACGTCAGACCACTGAAGCTTCTACTCACACGCACAGAGCCTACTCAGTAGTTTTTCTGCACACATGATGCGTGCTCTGTGTGTGTGTGTGTGTGTGTGGTTAAAGCTAAACCGTCCGGCGGCGTACGACCATACACACACATCTACCTACGACACTTCCCTGCCCCTTGCTCTTTCAACTTGCTCACGCTTAGACGACCGGCTGATGCCCTCGAGTTGAATGAATGGCGTGGCCATCTCTCTTGCCTGTCTCTGTCTGTCTGTCTGTCTGGCTGGCTGGATGTCTAGCTGACACGTACGTGATTTGTGGATGGGATGGGATGGCTGCATGCGTGTTGATAGATGGATGGACGGACCATTGACTCGGATAGATGGATGTGACCTTGGATGGATCAAAGGTCACACTATCTATCTATCGACACACTCGCAAAGCATCCATGCCGGCCTGCCTGCCAAGTCGCAGCACACCATCCACCCATCAATCCATCGTAACCGCTCACACACACTCAGACGCTCACACACATACAGGCAATCCCTCCCCGCCCGCTGGCGCCGTCTGCCTTTCGCTGGCCGAATAGTGAGTGGCATCTGAATTCCACACCAACACACCACAACACACCACAACACACCACACCACACACCACAACACAACAAGATTCGCTCCCTGCACGCACCCAATCCAACCAGCCCCGTAGCTCTGGACGCACCTCTCTCTGGCTGCTCGCGTTGTTCGTTCCTCATGTCGATAGATAGATCGATGTTCACGTCGCTGCGCTGCACACAACGACAAACAAGCCAGCACACACATCACCCACCATCCTATCTGCCTTTAGCCATCCCCTCTTCCTATGTATGTGTGGCTCACTCACCAGATGGCAGCTTGAAGTGAATGCATTAATGAAGGACGGCATCCATCCTGTCTGTCTGTCCGTCTGCTGGCTGTCCTCGGACGGCAACACAGGTGGCCGCCAACTGGTGGGCGGCATCGCATCGCCTGAGCTGACTGAGCATCATCAGCTCCGCAAGGAGGACCGTCCTCCTCTATCGTGTCGGGCTGTGGACCAGCCGAAGCACTCCTCCCTGGACCATTGAATGAATGGCTCTGCTGTGGTGGGTACGAGCCATGGCCACTAGTTCTACACACGCCCATCTACTTGAAGTGTGTGGGCTGGCCGGTGACATGCACGGGTGTGTGGATGGTATGGACGAATCGATGGACGAACACAGCTGGTATATCGACTTATTGAACTCGATCAAGTCTACTCGATCAAGATCACTGATGCTTTTGCTCAGACACGCACAAAGCCTAGTCAGTAGTTTGTCTGTACAAATGATGCGCGCACACACAAGTCCGTCAGCTTTGCGGCCAACATGGCCGTGAGGAATGGGCTCCATCCCCCACGTCCAAGCAGCATGACAAGCCGTCAGCGCTAGCCGTCGTCCTCTTCGTCGCTGAATGTGATCTCGTCATCCTCTTCGTCCAACTGAACACAACACAACACAACACAACACAGCAGCCCCGCAATCATCCCATCGTCACTGCCTGGGCATCGCTCTTCGTTGGTGCGCACCTCTGCGTCTCGTTTCTTGCGCCTCTCTTCCTCGATCTTCATCTCCTCCATCGCCTCGGCGCGCAACGCATCGATCGACACCTCGCTGCACACACGACACACAAGCCAACACATTTCCACCCATGAATGCTCCTCTCTCTCTGTGTTGGCTCACCTGAGGTCGAAATTGATGGCCTCCTGCACTATCTGGCCGAAGAAGGAGCCCGGTGTCTTGTCCTCTCCCGCGGCTGTCTTGTCGTCGGCATAGATGGACGCGTCGAGCCGCAGCATGGCCAGCACCTTGGACACGTCCTTCTCCGCCAGCAGGTCACCCTCTATCGTCTTGATCAGCCCCTGGGTGAACTGGAAGAGGAACTCCACGCCCTTGTTGAAGAAGGCCTCGAGGAAGTCGCACAGGGCGCGGAAGGGCAGCACGTGGATGCACAGGCCCACCAGCCACTTCTGCGCGTAGGCCTCGGGCACCACGCACAGCTTGGTGGTGTGCTCGGCCACTTGGGGAAAGTAGTGGGCGGTGATCTTCTGGTACACCTTGGCGTCGCGGACGAATGCGGGCGGGGCGGCCTTCCAGTAGCCCGGCACGTACTTGTCCTTCCGGTGCAGGTTGAGGCACAGCCGCACGGTCTCCTCCTTGGGCAGCAGCAGCAGGAGGAATGACACGATGTAGCCGAGCCCTTGGTGGTAGTCCTGCACCGACGAGTGAAGGATCTTGAGCACATCCACCATCGCCTCTCGACGCGCGGGCGACTTGAACGTCCTCTCAGCGTCGAGTTTAAAGATGCGGAGGGAGGCCTCGTCAGTGCATGTGGCACTCATGTCGACCTCGGTGCTGCTGCCCTCCTCCACCAGATCCACCCATCCCTTGGCGCGCTGCATTGCCTTCTCGGCAGATGCGTGGGTGAGGTGGTCGGCATTGCGGTTCAGGAGGGGCGCGTCCTTCTCCTCGGTCCAGAACGACTCCTCGCTGATCATCACTGATCTTTTCTCCGAGAGATTCTCGACGCCGATTAGCTCGCTGGCGAGCTTTCCCTGTCGAATCTCATTTCCCAAGGCCCTCGCCCGTCTGAGCCATCTACGTCTTTTGTGGAGACCTACAAGCACGACTGAGGTGGCGAAATCGGGTGCTGAGCGGTGAAAACGGTGGTTGGTCACTCTTGTGGGGCTGCTTGTTCATCTGACGGTTGCCCTTGCGCTTTCTGTCGTGGAGGCCGTCCTTGAGGCATCAGCAGACGTCAGCAGAAAAGCCCTCCTCGCCCCGTCCTTGTTCATCGGTCAGCAAGATGGCAGACAGGTCGAAGCGGCTGCGTGACGCGCTGCCAAGCGTGGAGAAGATCATGGGCGACAAGAAGCAGCGGTTCATGGAGGACTGCGGCACCGTCTTCACCAACCTGAAGAGGGGAATCAACGATGTCAAGAAGCAGGTGGAACTCATCGACAACATCGAGTACTCCACGCGGCAGCTGGTCTGGAAGTTCCTGCTCACTCTGTTCAAGCAGGAGCCCAAATTCTCAAAACAGATCCTCAACTGCGTCGCCGTGTTGCTGTCGTCAAGCAAGCCGAGACTCGCACAAACCTGAAGGAAGGTCAACTACATTCTCATGTGTGTTCATCTCTCTGTGTATCAGCCCCCTGGGTGGAGTCGTTCAAAGCGCTGGAAGACAAGTCTCTGCTGACGCTGTGGAAAGTGAGCCCGAGTGGCCATGCGTCAGGGTGCGGCCCTCAAGATGTGCTGGTCCAGCTGCTGGAGAGGGGTGTCGACCCGGACCAGCTGTTGCCGGCGGAAGCGATGAAGTCCGACTTGGTCAGTAAATTGCAAGAAAGAAGCGGCGACTTCTCGGCTGCAGCGAAAGGTCAGCAGCAGTGAATATGGTCACGCCCTTTCACATTATGTTGCCTCTTGCTCTGTTGCTCAGCGACACTTCGAGCGTGCAGTGACGGCGGCAATATGGTTGCGAAGAAGATCCTCAGCGGTCCTCAGATAGCGAGCGAGGCACCGGAGGATGCAGTGTCCGATCGCAAGAGCGAGCCCGCCGACAAAGGTGCGCAGCCATGCAGAAATGATCACCTGCGCGCTTGATGTCTCTTTGGATTCTTTTCACTACAGACGAGGTGTCATCGACGGTCGGTGATTACATCGCGCAAAACCAGGCGCAGATCGATCTGATCAAAGCTGCTGTGAGTCGTCGAAACAGCCTTGCAGGAGAGGAGCAGGCACCGGTGCCATGTAACAAGGAGATGAAATATGGGACGTAGAGTTGGGCCCACAATTACGAGTCTGTATGTTTGCGCTGTTCATTCAGCCGTGCCATCGTTGTCTCAGAAGGAGATCATTTTGCGCCTGTTCAACTCCGCTTTGGAGGCCCTTGAAGTGGCAGCCGAGTGTCTCCAACCGATACAGGCAGACAGGCATTCGCACACAGACAGACAGACGGCACACCTTTCACGAAGAACCACTGATAGCATTCAAGTAGCCTTCTGTCTGTCTGTGGTCTATCTATCGACAGGTTGGAGCGGAGGAGAACCTCGCCACTGCCCATGCACGTCGCATAATGGACTTCGCAAGGCGTCTTCACGACCTGGAAGCGGTCCTGCTGGTGCTTGGACCTGCACAGGCCGGTAAAGGAGGGAACAAAAGGCAAGATATGAGACACATACATCCTTCTCTGTGCCTCTAGGGAAGACAACCGTTGCGCAAGCGTTGGCGGGTTTCCCCTGCCTCCCAACCAGCACCCCTTCTGCCCTCACAATCGAGTGGACGCACACAGCACATCTCGCCCTTCCACGGCTAATCATGCCGGACACACTCGCTGAGGCGCTTCAAGGATGGGCACAGAAGGTGCGGGTAAAACTGGCCAGCGAAGCTACCTCTGACCAAGCGCTGATTGCATCGTTGAGGTGACCGACTTTGGCACAGATTGAGAGGACTTGATGATTTTCCGACGTTTCTGTGTTTGTGTGCGCAGTGGTCCCTGGGGACAGACAGTCGAGGGCTTCGAGGAAATTACACGCGAGATTGAACGCGCCAATGTGCTCGATGCACTGGAAGGGCAACGCCGGGCTGTGTCATATGTCTGTGTATATTTGTGCAGCATTTGGTGTACATGGGTCGTCAGCTGGAGGTGCTTGACGCCAAGGAGCTTCGGCTGCTCACTGACCCCTCGCTCACCCTCAGAGTCGACACCGCCTTCCCGTGTCTCTCGTCACTCGACGGTTGGCCTGGCGACAAATGAATGGATACATGAGCCCATGTGTGGGCGCCTCGCTCTTGTGTGAACAGATGATTTGGCCGAGGTTGGCACGTTGAAGCTGGTGGACTTGCCGTCGCCGGACCTGAGCATCTGGCAGGGTCATGACCTGGACCTCCTCATGCGCAACCACCTCAAGAGGGCCGACGGCGTCCTTGCCGTGGTGAGCACAGCGAGCCAAAGACTAGAGAGGGCGAATTGCATTAGAAGCTCTCTACTCAGGTGGATGCGAGTCGTCACAAGGCGGCTGGTGTTCTACGCTCCGTCTTAGAGGATTGTCTGGGTAAACATGAGGGACAAGTGTCGCAGAAAGAGCGTCTGCAATGATGCATGTTGTTCTGCTCAGCCAATGGGACTCTTCAGCCGAATGACATCTGGATTGTGGCCAACAAGATTGACCAGCTCAACGACTTCTTTTGTCTTAACGGCCTCAGAGACGTGAGCTCACGGCACTCGAGAGACAGCGAATCGAGATCGTTGTTGTCCGTTGCGGCTGATCAGGGATGCAACAGGGTTCGTGAGCAGCAGTTCGATTTCTTCAAGTGAGCAAAGCAACATACGGGTCGTTGGGAAGAAGAGGGACCTTGGCCGTTCTGGGTCATTCAGGGAAATCATTGTGGGCCCCGACCACGTCATCCCGACGGCTGCATCCATCTCGCTGCTGGTACGCCAAGTGCAGCGATAAGTTGATGCTTCTTTCCTGAACTGGGTTCATTCATGTGTGCAGGGTGTGTACGGCCAATACTGCGGGCAAAAGGTGCAGAAGAACCTGTTCAAGGAATATTCCAAGAAACCGTGGTTCGGTAAGACGAAGGCACAGAGACACTTAGCTGCTGGCTCTTCATATTTGCTCACGTGTGCATGTGCACAGGTCAGATATGCGCGTTTCTGTATGGCATCCACTGGACTCGGGCCGTTAAAATGATGACACCGAGGAAGTGGAACGAGGCCATGAAGGAATGCCAGTAGGGCCACCGGAGACACATACTTACGCGGATCACTCATGTCGGTGGTGGTGTAGGTTGATGGGCCAGATCAGCGATGCCCTCGCAAGCTCTGTCTTGAAACAGGTCTGGTGAAGGACATCACAGAGACGCACTGATTCCGCCTTCCTCCAAGCGCTCTTTCTTGTCTGCTGCAGCCCTATGTGAAGATGCTCCCCCGGTCGGTGGTAAAGTTCATGGGGAGTCTCAAGGAGCAGCTCGAGAACTTCATTCAAGTATGCACGTGGATCCTGTCATAGATACGTGTTGAGTAAGCTTGTTCCTGTCTTCCTGCAGGAGCTGGATTCCTTTGAACATGGTCCGTCGGGAGGTGCCGAGGGCGTCAATCTGGATCAGTTGAGAAGCGTCTTCGCGGCGTACTATGAGGACTGCGGGCATAAGATCGACGAGGTGGCAATGGGACTGCCCACGAGGGACGAAGCAACCAACCTCCTAAAACTCGAAGGTGTGAACAAACAGCCGCCCTGAATTATAAGACTGTCCTGGATCTGTAGGTGGGGTCAAGGAGATTCGTGAGGAGAATCCAGGGGAGGGGATGCGAGAGCTGCAGGAGTTTCTTAAGGTGAGGACTGGCGCCTGCCGTAGATAGTCAGCTAACAAATGTGTCTCTTCTGGGTGTGGTTGTAGTTGTCATCGAAGGACGCCAACGAGGCATGGACAAAGCGCTATCTCGACTTCATGAACGCCGCACAGGTGGATCCATGCCTGGTCCGACGCTTCGCTGGTCATGTCTGTTGTGGTTGGTCTTCAGGGTCGTCTGACGCGGACCAACCAGAAGTGGGTGCGGTCAGTGGACCACTACCTCAAGCAGCAGGGGGCCAACGCCGTCACGAGGCACAAAATACTCTCAAAGTGAGATCGATCCATGGACACATGCATGGACACATGGAGACACACGAGACACGGAAATGAGGTCTGCCATGGCTGCAGGGTGAATGAGCTGCACCTTGAGCGGCCAACCGCTTTGGAGATGCCCACAGACGGGTGGGCCAACCTCATCGCAGCCACCGCCAAAAGCGTAGGGGGTCATTGGAGCCGCCAGCCATTCATAAAACATCTCACTGCTGTGGTGCCTGTCAGGTTCCTTACACGAAGGACAAGAAAATGTTCCACCGCACCTGCAAGACCTACATGCTGTCACAGGAGAAGGCCGCAGAGTACATCGTCGCCTTCTGGGAACTATACATGACCACCATCAGGCAAGAAGCGACGCCCACTCCCTACCTACAGCTTACCCAATTGCCCACATCCGTGCCCTTCCTGTTCTGTGTGTCTCAGGAAGGTGCTGATCCCCAAGTACATGCTGGGGCCGATCAAGGCGAACTTTGACGACATGTGCAACACGATAGACGACCTCAACCAGCAGACTGCCACCACATACATCGCCCCGGGCGGCATGAGGGCCATGGGATTTGACTTCACTTGGGCCAAGCTGCTCAAAGAAGTAGCCCCAAGGGAGACACGACAATCGAGACACAATCGATGTTCTTGTGTGCAGGTGTTGCCTGACATTGCCAACTTCGACACACAAAACCCGGAGACGGTTGACGAGGGAGAGCAGGAGGAGTGCGAGAAGGTCGTTGAGCGGGTGCGCAGCGTGTGCGACAGGATACGAGCGAGCAGGTCGCAGCAGTCCACCCCCACGAGACAACCAGCCTCCTCCGCCCCACCCGTGGCGTCCCCACCCTTCCCCGCCTCCCCATTACAGGCAGGGCCTCCAGTGGGTCATGGTGCTGGTGCAAGGCCGCCTGCAATGCATCATGTGGCGTTTGCCCCTGTGCAGCCCCAGGGTGCCCGCCCACCAGCACAGAGACCACCGCAGGGTAGCCATTTCTGATGATGAAGTGTCGTCGATGTTTGCTTTCTTGCTGATTGATTGTCGGTGGTTGCACGTTGCTGGTGGGGGGGTTGGGGGGATGAGCTGGCAACTTGAAGGTGGTATGTTCATGTGACTTTCTGGACTCGCAAATGCCTGGCATTGCCTGCATGATTGACTGAATGAATGTCTTGGTGCGTATCAGTCAACTCAGCAACCTACGCACGCACACCAACTAACCCTGCCTGCTCTTCTTTCGCTTCTTGACGAGCACGAAGCCTTCTTCCTCCACGCCAGCAGCAGGGGGCTTGTCATCAGCTGCACGTGGTCTCTTCTGGGCCTTGCGGGGCGGCGGGGGCTTGGTTGTTGGCAGACCCTTCTCTTGCTGTGCCTTGCTGGCCATCTTCCTCTTGCGCACTCTTCGCAGCGCCAGCAGCTGGCGATCGACTTCCGTGTTCTGTGTACACAAGAGACGATAGATAGATGAGGAGAGAGGGGTATGACGGTAGCTCTATGCGTTGGGTGCTGCCTTACTCTGAATCTCGGGTTTGTCGGATCGATGGCGAAGTCAGGATTCTCAAACACGCGAGCGATGCGGGGGTCCAACAGATCCATCTGCATGCATTCAGACGACCAACACAGATCGAGCACCTGTGAATGCGTGCGCGTTTCCTGCGTCTGACTTACCTTGAAGTCCGTCTGCAGTTGGATTTCTGACTCGGCCGTCTTCTTCTTGGCCTTCTTCTGCGCCTTGGTCGAGGCCTCGACGCCTCCTTTGTCGCGCAGGCGGCTGATGCGGCCACGCAAATTGAAGTGACGACCCTCCTGCATTGCATGACAAGCCCACGGAGAGTGTGAGGGGGACCCCGTCGCTCTTTTTGGGTTAAGATCCTTCGCACCTCCTCGTCGTATTCGTCGTCTTTAGGATTTGCCTCAGCGGTCTCGAAGTCTGGCACGTCCGTCTCGTCCAGAGCTCCAACAGTGGGAAACTGCACCACACACACCACACGCAGACAGGGAGGTCCACCAAGGTGAGCACGCACCATTCTTGCGTACTCTGGGCGCTTTTGGCTTCGTCGGTTTGCCTCCGATGATGTCGTCGCTTCCCTCTCCTTCGTCCTCGTCGACAGGCTCCCCACGGGCCTGAACAAGAACACCCTGTCAGCCAGCCAATGGTCGCTTTCTGACGCGTCTTGGGTACCAGTTTCTTCTGTCGCTCTATCTGTTGTCGTCTCTCCTGTTTCTTCTCCTTGCGCTTCTGCTTGCGCTTCTCCAGATAGGCCTGCCAGGGGCTCTTGGACTCCTTCTCTAGCACCTCACGACTGCACACACCCCCACGCCATTGTCGTGTCATGCACCATTGGTGGCGTGGGAGTTGCTGTGCGCTGCTCACCCTTGATGGTCGACTGTGATGTTCTTTTTGTCTTTGGCTCGCTCCTTGACGTTCATGGCGAGGGCCTCCAGGTCAGGCTTGAAGGTGATCTCTATCACGTCACCGCCCTGTAGAATCACACGCATGCGTACCATGATTGGCCCTCACCTCCGTGGCCTCCCACCCTCTCTGTACCTTTTTGTTCTTCTTGCTTTTGCTGTTGGCCTTCTTTGCCTTCCTCGTGACGCCCTCACCCTCACCCTCGCCATCGTCCTCTTCCTCGTCCTCATTCTCCACGTCGCCCAGAAGCAGCTGCCGGTACTCCTCCAGGTTGTCCTCATCGATGTGATCGAACCTCTTGTCATCGCCACCCTCGCCACCCTTGCTCTCATCGTAGATGGACTGATGCGGCCACACGTCCTCCCCCTCATCCGACTCATCTGACGACGACGCGAGGTAGGCCTGCAGGTCGTGGTCCTTCAGCTCCTCATCAGTGAACCTGGACACACCATACGAATGCGATTTTCCAGCTGCCTGCTCTCCCCCTCTCGTGCTGCTGTGGGTGCTCACTTGCGTCTGAGGTCTTTGGTGCGTGTGGCGGGGGTCTCGTCCCAGGTGAGCCGGACCTTGGAGTGTCGCAAGGCCGATGTGTATGCGTTGGGCGCTCTGTAGCCGGGAGGGATGACGGCCGCATCTGATGATGGTGCATGGGGGAAGGCCAGGGAGTCGGGAATGAACCGGAGGTCGAGCCCGTCCACAGCAAACGTCTGCAGAGGAGACACACACGACGGAGAGAAAGCGAGGCGTTTCCCGCAGCAGCCTGCTGGCATTGCAGGTCTGTCCTTACCACATCAAGCCCGTCCAGCTCTTCGTAGAGTTTGGCGGCGATGTCCTCGCTCTCACACTCTATCACCCCGTAGTAATACCTGATGCAACACAGGCACACAAACCACAGTAGATGACCAGGTGACTGATTTTTGTTGCTCACTAACTTGCTGCGCTGTCTCTGGTATTTCCTCAGTGCCGCCTGTGTCGATTCGTCGTCTTCAGTGTCACCAACCTCAGCAGACTCGTCACCTTCCCCCTCTCCTTCTCCCTCCTCCTCTCCGCCCTGCTCTTCATCACCGTCCACGACCTCCCCAGGGCCATCAATCGCTTCCGCCGTTGTGTTTTCGCCATGTGGTGAGGTCTCAGTTGTGGGGGCGGCTGTTGCTGTCTTGGGCAGGTCGATGTCAGGACCCTCCACCGCCTCCTTGGCCATCTGCTCGAGGCCGAAGTCAGATGGATAGATGGCTACACGCCGGATGCCGCGGACTGCAGGAACCAACAGCCGGAAGGACAGGATGTGTGAATGAAGCAACTCTGTGGCCCATCCCCCCTTGTATCACTCTCTGACCTGGGCCAGCGCTGATGACGGTCTGTGTAGTCCTGCCTTTCTTGGCGTCGGTGCCTCCGGCAGGCGTGGAGTCATGCAGGAACGACTGTGCCAGCACGAGGATGTCGGTTGCCGTGAGGACATCCCAATCGCATCCCATCACCGCCACGCGACAAGTCACGTCACCCTGAACACACACCCGTGCGCAAGAATGCAGCCATGGTCCGCCTCTGTCTGGTGAATACTGTCTGCGCACCGTGGGGACGTCTTGGTCGAGCCGGTTCCACACGGAGTCATCCTTACCGATCGCCTCGTCCTCCTCTTCCTCCTGTCGTACGCAAGAAACCACACACAGGGAGTGCCTTTTCACATGGGCGGCACACTGCTGTCTGCTCTTCTCACATCTGAGGAGGATTCCTCACTCCACTCGAAGGGAACGGTGCCCCGGCTGCCGTTCGCCTGAGGATCATCATCATCTGCCATCTTGTCATCGATCTTGTCATCGGCATCTTGCTCCTGATGCTTGCGCTTGAGAGCCTTCTCCTTCTTGCGCTTGACAGGGGCATCGTGTTGCTCGTCCTTTGTCGGTTCTTCATCGTCTTGTTCCATTCGGTAGAAGCGCCGCATGTCGTCGGCCTTGACGTCCCTGTTGCGTCTGCCGTAGGGATCAACCACCGTGTGCGTCTGGAAGGCCTTGTCATCGAACATCCTGACAGCCACACAGACACAGGCGGGATCAATGGGCGATGGATGGACTGATGGACTGATGGATTGGTGCGTGTTTGTGGCGCTCTGTACCTCTGGAATCTTTCATCGATGAGGGTCTTCCTGGTCTTGAGCGGCGCCTTCTTGAAGCGCGGGTTGCTGGACGGATCAAACCGGGGATCCATCGCCATCACGACAACGCAGTCCGCAGAACTGATGCCAGATCTTCGGGCTTGAGCTAAGCTCGCAAATTGAGCTCGCAGGCTCGCCCGAAGGGATTGCATTCATCAGACGGGCTCTGTGATGATGCGAGCCAGGGGCTGAGCCAATGAAAGCAAAGAGTGCAGCAAAGCATCGCAACTTTGTACCCCCACGCCCCCACCACCCTCCACGGTCTGTGTCTGTGGCACACACGAGCTACAGCACACCTGCAGCACACACATTCGTCTGGACGAAATATAGCGTTTAACGAACACATGATTTCCCCCATTCTCCCTCAGACACTATTCCTTTCTCTCTCCCCCAGGCCGCGACCGCTCCTGCTCGGATACCACCACTCGGCCCAACAGCCTGGCCCCCGTCTGATGTGGCAATCGAGGGTATGGGGGGGTTGGCTGCTGTGTGTGATGCACTGCAGCTGGCTGCCGGGGGTGGGGTGCGGCGCCGTGCTGCATCTGCACGTTGGTGTCCGTTGGTGATTTGGGCGTGGGCGGCTCCTCCTTCTCAACTACAGTATCGACCACAGATGCTGAAACAGACACACATATACCGAGAGAGATATAGAAATGAGATGCCCGCCAACTTACCATCTTCAATGGCTCCTTCGACAGGGCCTTGCGGCATCGTGGCCCTCTCGTCGACTCCCTCCTCTCCCTCCTCTCCCTCGGGCAGCTCGAAGGGGGTGCCTGTCTGGACGGCGTCGAGCACCTCTGGAGACTTCAGGAATGCCAGTACGGCCTCCAGCGGCTCCCGGATCTCCTTGAGAGTGCTCCTCCTTGACTGGTCCGCCACCAGGCCGCCCCGCTCCTCCCCCGTCTGGCCGGGCTCGTCCTCCCGCCTCATGTATGCGATGGCAGTGAGCATCTTCCTCCACTCAGCCAGCCACTCCACCCCCTGCTCCTCTCCCAGGTTGAAGAGCCGCTCATCAGTGTCATAACCGTAGCGGTTCGGGTGGAGGCCGTCGATCTGCGGGGCGAATGTGGGGAGGCTGGTGTTGACCAGCTTGCCACTCTGCGTGAAGCGCTCCCACTCACTGAGCATCTCCTCCTCCGCCACTTCCCGGGCCGCCGCGATGCTCAGTTTCTCGTCCGTCCTCCAGAGCCTCTGATCCATGAGAAACAGCAGCACGTCGCCCATGGGCCGGCCGAGCGCCGCGGCGTAGATGAGCATGCAGAACGACCAGGCGAGGCTCGGCTCGCCCAGCCACACAGCTCCCTCCACTGACGGCGGCCCCGAGAGGAGAGCCTGCACCTCCGGCGGGGTGAAGGTTGTGGTGCCGGCCGGCAGCTGCCTCTGCTGCCGCTGCTGCTGAGGATCGGTGGGCACGAGGGCGGCGAATGGGCAGGAATGCTCCGGGGGTGGGGTGGGGTGCTCGCTCCTGGCCTTGGCGACGATGACATTGACCAAGTCGATGGCCTTGGCGCGCTGCTTGTCGCCGTCATCTGCTGCCGCCGCTGCCGATGCTGCTGATGCTGAGGGTGTTGGGGACTCTAGGGCGGCTCGGGGGAGCATGATGTTGTTGTAGAACCCGTCAAGGTGGAGCATGCCCAGGGAGTATGCCGCCTCGTGGGCCTCCAGGACGAGGAGAAGGGCGCGTGTGATGATGATGGTCTCACGCCACAGCTCCTCTCTCGCCCTCGGGGTGTTGCCCTCCTTGTCAAATGCATCGCAGGCCTCGACCAGGTTGTGCTTGGTCTTGCCCTCGCTCCCAGGGCTGGCCTCCTCCCAGCCAAAAAACTCACTCAACTCTACCCACTTGTCCCCTGCACACACAATACACACACGAGAGCAGAGGTATGGTCATAGTCAGAAGGACCGACACTGTCTGTGTGCCGTGCAGTGCAGCCCACCCACCCACTCACCGCTAAGCAGTGGACTCGCTATGCACAGGGCGGGCCGGGTGGTGCCGTCGGTGTCGGTGACAATGGCTGGGCTCTCCGAGTCGGTGTTGGAAGCGAGGAGGTCGATGAAGGGAGGGCGGCCGGCCGCTTGCCGCATGCTGTCCTCCTCGACCTTCATCCCCGCCTCCTTCTTGACCCAGGCCGGGTCTGACGGGTCGCCCACAAACGCCATCTTGACGGCCATCTCCTCATGCCCTCCCTGCTGTAGGCGCCCCCTCTTGACGACGCCCGTCACCCCTTTGCCGACGATGGCGGCTTCCCCTCCCTCAAACACGATGCTGCTGCTGCCGCTGCTAATCAGGATGCTGCTGCTGGTCGCCATGTTGTTGCTGTGGTGCTGCTGGCGACGGTCTTGCGATGGGCACGGCTGGCCAGGGGACGGCTGCGCCTGATCCGTGCCGACGATGGCGGCATCCCCTCCAGCTCTACTGCTGCTGCTAATCCAGATGCTGCTGCCCGACATCTTCCAAGCTGCTCCACACTGGGAGAGCGCGGCGTCAGTCCTGGGATGGGAAAAAGCGGTTTACACCGAAGCTCGCCTTCAAGCGCGCACTGAAGGGAGGAGTGAACGCCAAAGCCAAGATAAGAGGCGTACTGCTCATCACCTGAGTCTTGACACATTGCGTGTTGTGTTCTCATGCTTTCCGCTCATTGATCATTGCTCTGCGGAGGCCGATTGGTGGAAGCTCCTTTCAGCTCATTGCCACGCCGTGGGCTGCCTTCAACGTCGACTGTTACGTCGTCCAGAAAGGTAGGTGACGAAAGAAATGAAAGAAAGACCAAAAGGATGACAACCCCGTGTTTGCGTGATTCGTCGCAGGCTTCCACCCACCGTCATGATCGGGTTTCTGCTTCGGGAGCTTTTGCTCTGCCTGCTGTCCATCCCACGGTACCTTGCTGGCTTCTTGTCGACCGCAGGGACTTCTTGTTCCTTGTTCTTGTGTGTTCAGGATGTTTCCACGGCTGTTGACAATGGCGAGAAATCACGTGCTGCAACGCTTCCTGGACTGGCCTATACCCGACTGTAAGATGGACACAGCACTGAGGTCGTCGTGCAACCCTCATGTACGTGTGATTGTCTCTTTCCCTCCGTAGTGGACGTGTGTCTGATCCCTCCCACATTTGCGCCGACATTGCCGCAGCTGAGCACCCCGTCAGACCCGAAGCACCGGCAGGACGACTGCCTGCTGCATGCCTTGTTTGAGTTTTACCCCGTCGCCCTCCTCATCGCTGCTGAGGTCAGTCCGACACACGATGGCTGACATCACTCGTGCCATCGATCCATGCGTGTATGGTTCTGCCATGGATGCAGATGGTGTGGATTGTGCGGATGGGTCTGCGCGGCGACCAGTTCCACATCAACCAATATCTGGATCGGCAGCCCCTGAGGCGCCACCTAAGGCAACACAACGATGAGGAGCAGCCGCACGTGGACCATGAGCACGGCGGACGCATACAAGTCCTCGGAGCGGCACTACACACCCCTGCTGTTGCGGCCGATGAGGGCAAGGGCAAGGATAAGACGGGCAACCCCGCACCATGGCAGAAGCACCCGGCTGTCCGCTTCTCTGTGGCGTGCTGGCGGTTTTTCGTCCCCCACGACCCATTGAGCGCGTGCTTCTGCCTGCTGGGCTTCCGCGTCCTCTGTCACGGCATCTTGTGGTACGGCAGTTGGGACCTGCTGGAGCGTGTGTTGGTGTATTTGTGGCCGTGGGTGGGTCTGTGGGAGTGCTGCTGGGTGTGGGAGTGGTAGGCGCAAAACGAACCACGCCGACAGAAAGACTCATTCATCCCATTTCGGGTGCCTGTGCGGTGTGTGTCAGGTCGACGCTGCTGCTGGCGATCTTTGACTCCAACTGCTTCGCCATCTACGAGCGGTTCGAGGAGGTGCTGCTCTTCTGTATGCATGACATGGGCTGGAACCTGTCTGTGGAGCGATTCGTCAACTTCTGGGCACAGAGAAGGAGACAGGTCGTGTCGCTCATGGCCACTGCTGCGTAACACACATAGCTGGCTAGATTGCTCCGCTTCTCCTTTTCTCTTTTCTGCGTGCATCCAATCCATGGCAATGGTTTTGGCTGTCTGTGCCGTGTGTTGTGTCCATCTGTCTGGCCGCCTGCTGATGTATAGGGTAGGAGGCAGGGGCGGGGAGGCTGGAAGGGGAACACACACACACACACGCACACACACACGCATACACCTGCCGACAGAGTTTTTTCTCTCTGGGCAACTCATTGGTGACTTCGACACAACTGCCATTTTTGGCGGTATAGTGTAAGTACACATACATGCGGGTGGGTGACTGAAGCTGAGATGGGTGTCGTAGGTGTGTGCATGTTGGGACTGCAGACGCCGTACAGTGAGCTTCAGTGAATGGACGTCAGCGCCTCACGAAGGGAGGTACCAAAAAATCTTGACATGTAGCATCCACGAGTGCACATCCATCCACGCAAAGTAAGTCACCACGCAGCCATGAACACGTCTGAATTGGAGTAGCGATGCACCAACCAACCAGCAGACGACCGAGACACTGCCCTGCAGCATGACGCTGTGTGCGCCTGTCTGTGACAGATGCTGTCAGTTGCTCCCTACCGCTGCGGCTGCTTAGTGAGTCATGCGTCTCTCTCGGCCTGTCTTAGTGCAAAACAGTCACGGCGAGAAAGAGGCATGACGCATTCCAATCAGTTGGTGCATCGGCTGGCTATCACTCGGCATTATCATCCATGAGTCCCCTCCCCCTAGCAAAAACGCACATGGACGCGCGATGATTGTATGGTCATGTCAGACTCAGTCGGCCAGCCAGTGTATGTGTGTATGGGTGCCTGTCTGTCTGTCTACCCCTCTCCCTCGATGGGCAAAGTCTCTTGCTCCAGGCAATCGTCCTCCAGAGACCGCTGCTGCTGCTAAGTGTGTCATACGTCTCTCTCAGAGTCTGCTTTCTGTGGTGTGCTCTCTTGGGCGCCACATACTTTCAAAAAATGGTCCAGGCCCCCTCCCTCCCGCCCCCTTCACTCAGCCTTCTGTCTGCAGTGTGAATACCTCTACCTCATCCGCTGCAACCTCTTCCACCTCATTCACATCCCCCCAACCCAGTCGCACCACACAGCCAGGCAACCCACTGTCCATCCACACGGCGTCGGGCACCCACAGCCCCAGCCATTCCTCCCTGCTCAAGTTGTGCGAGGCGGACCTGCCGATCGTGAGGCTGCCGCGCACGCCGATGTCTGGGCGTGAGACGCTCACACACTGCTGCGTGACCTCCTCCGGGTCGAAGATTGGAGGCGACGGGCCGGGTGCGTAGAAGATGAGGGCGTCGGCATCATAGTGGTTGTAGTAGGAGTAGAGGGTGTTGAGGGCTATTTGGTGGGGCGGTGGGGGCGGGCGGATGCTATCGTCGATGAAGCAGCCGTGCATGTTTCCATTGCTCCGGGTGAGGAACAGCAGGCAGCTCGCATCGGCCACGCGGGTGAGCATGTCGGTGAAGTCGAAGCCGTGCATGGTAGCCCTGCAGCCAGCCGCCCAGAAAAAGGAGAAAGAGGAGGGGCATATGCAGCAGCAGGTGACAGACTTCCCTCCATGTGTTTTCTCTTACTTGTAGAGCAGCTCGATGCCTGTGATGTGCTTGCCCGTCTTGTGCAGTATGGCCATCAGCTGCTGTGCAGAGGCAATCGTGGAGGGGCTTGGGCGGCAGGGCGATCCGCCTCGCAGCGGCAGCATGGGCTGCATGGCCATCCCGCGTCGCTCCATCGCGGCCGCGAGTGGTGCCTTGAGGCGCTGTGGGGCATACGGGGGGTCGACGACACTCATGGGCGTAGCAGCACGTACGCGCTTGTGGAAGTCGCTGGCGAGCGCCTCGGCTGAGACGTCGACAGGGAGGGAGGGGAGGTACCTCTTGAGCATCGACGACAGCTGCTCCCTCGCGTATGGAATGCCGTCCTCCACCAGAGCCTCTGGCAAGAGCAGACGTGCTGTCCGTAATGCGGCCTCGAGCACGTCGTCGGTCGACAACTGGGCAAACGCCGCCCCACGGAACTGATGAACAGACACATAATCCAAAGGAAGAGCATATTGCATTCTGCATATGTCAATGCAGATCTCACCCTTTTCAATCCGCTTACGTGTGGGATGTGATTGCTATTCATGACCAGTCTACTGTCCTCCTCTACCATGTTGCCAAACACACGACCAGGCCCGAACCGCCGCTCCATGGCCGCCTTGAGAGCGTCGAGATGGCTGGGCTGGGGCAGCACCACCGTCAGCTCCGAGATGGACTCGATCTCGAGAACTGACCAGATGCTCGACAGAATGAAGGCGCCTGGCTCGACGATATCATCAGAGGGCACTGAAACCAGTGGATGACACGGAGGTGCAGCAAGTGGGCGCATTCTCCGGGGTTCATCCTTTTGCCACGTACCGTGCAGGTGGATTTCTACGGTGTCGATGGGTGGCATCTCGTCCTTGTGGTCCCCAATCTGATGCCCTCCCTCTCGTCCTCAGCCTCGATGAGCTCGGGGTCACCCTCAGCCATGAAGCCGAGACGCAGCTGCCCGATCCCCTCACGGCCCCCATTGGTCAGCACCTGGCGCACGCCCGCCTCGCCGCCAGACATGGCAAGCATATCCAGCGATGCCATCTGCTGGCGCAGGGCTGCCGCCACGCCCATGGCTCCGTCTCCGCTGGCCGTCAGCATCTTGGCTTTGCGCAGGCTGCCGTGGTAGAACGGCACAGGCATCCCAGCCCCTGGCTGCACCGAGCCGAGCACCAGCTGACTCGGCATCTTCCATGCAGTCAGGCAGGTGAGGAAGCCCATCACGTCGGTGTCGTCCATGTCCATCACCTGCAGGCTCTGGAGCTCCACCCCCCTGGAGATCAGGACGCGAGCTGCCCCCAGCCCAATGCGGCTCTTGACCGTCAGGTTGTGCAGAATCCCCATCTGTCCCGGGCGGAAGATCCGTAGCTCGGGATGCGACGGCAGGACAGCGTTGGCTGGTGGCGTCCAGCCGTCCGCACACTGGATGGACACGCTGCAGGTCCTGCGCCACGAGAACATCATCCGGCAGGCATGGGGCCCCGCCCGTCTGTCCCCCTCCTCTTGCTCCAATGGGTCGAGGTCTGCTGGCGTGATCCTCCACACGAGCTGGCACGGTGGCCTTGGAGACGTCCAGAATGATGGGCAGTCCTGCTCGTCACAGTCGGCATCATCATACTCCATGTGGTATGCGCGCAGCAACGCCCACAGGAGCCGATAATGGCAGCGGGGGGACTGGGTGAGGTCCCACCGGAGGTAGCCGAGCCGATGGTCCATGGGGACATCCTCTCCCTGCTGTCCGTCTGTGCGAATGTGGCAATTCACCCTGCCATACGACGGGCCCCGGTAGCCCGATGGCAGGCACACTCTGTCGATGAGGTTGCCCAGGGCCTTGAATGTCCCGTGGGTGTCTGCCTTGAGAAACACCGAGTGGCAGTCACTGCGGTGGACCACGATGCCCAGCTCCTTCAGAGACTTCGAGCAGCCGCGATCACACAAACACCTCTGAAAGAAGAGCATCATGCGAAGCAGAACGCATTGATGTCATGGCTTCCCTTTCCCCTTCCCTGCCCTCCATTCTGTGCCCCTTCTCTCGTTCTGTGTCACCTTGAGTCTTTCTAGCCCCTCCCTGACGACATCCGACTCCATCCCGTAGAGTTTGATGGAGGGAATCGTCCGAAGGCGCGCGAGAGGCCCTGGACTCCCCCGCTGCCCCAGAGGAATGCTCTCCATGAGCTGCGCCAGGTCCGACGGCGGCAGCAGCAGAGGCGTCTCCAGCTCGACGAGGGACCTTGATGTGGCGACGAATGGTCGGATGTCGGCCACCTGGGCAGTGTCGTATGGTGCAGACACGACCTCGACCGCTGGTGTTGCCCATCCCCGCCCGTCGATGAGCGAGTGGCCCGGTATGACGCAGTTGACCTCGGTGAGTGCTGGGAGGGGGATAGATTGGGAAGGGGCGGTCTGGGGGGGCCGTGAGTTGATGTAGCTGATCTCCGTTATCTCCTGTATTCCGACTCCCGGCAGCACCGCGGGCTCAAATGTGAGCGACTTGAGCGAGCCCTCGCTCATTGTGGTGGCCGGCCCCTGCCTCTCGCGAGCCTCCTGCCGCCCCAAGGCGTGCCCCTCCTCCAGTGCGACAAGTGACCCCCGGCACCAGCTCCAGCCAGCGAAGAAGTGGTCGGCCGCCAGACCCTCCACACCATCGGCTGTCCGCGGGATTCAGTGTGTGATGGTTTGGAGGTTGATCATCTGTCTGCCGAGGTCCCGTGCCGTCTGTGGGGTGAGCTGCTCCCAAAACCTGCGCTGCTCGGGGTTGATGCAGTCGATGATGACGTGAGGGTGGTGCGCGAGGACGGCGCCGGTGAGTGGTGAGGGGAGGGGAGGGGGGAGGTCCCACACAGCATTGGCCAACGCATACACTGGGATGTGAAGTTCGCGAGGCTGCACACAGACACACAAAGCGGGATGTGTCACCGTGTGTGTGGTGTGGCCCTTCCTTCGTCGTTGCTTCGCTACCGCTGGGAGGTCGGTCGTCAGTCCGTGCAAGCGAAGGGCCTGTCATGCCGTACAGCCACACGACAGAAGCACACAATTGACAATGTGTGTGATGTGTGCCCGTCATCACATACCCGGAAGGTGGCCTCGACTACGTCAGAATATTTGGTGGTGTCATCGTCGCCGCCACCGGATGACGGCTCGGCCTCATCATCATGGCCATCACTTGCACTCCGAATGGCCTGTCAGTCAGCACCCACACACACAGCAAAGACACACAAATCACCGACTAATGGCATTCACGTGCGATGTGGATGCTGTGATCACCTGGAAGGCGGCCTCCGTGGCTGCGCTATCGGCGTTGGCCGCGCTGTCAGGGTCAGAGGCTCCGTTGCTGGCCGCACTGCTAGCTGCCTCCTCCATCGTCACCAGACGTTATCTATCTACCTGCAGCGGAGAGGAGAGGAGAATGCACCATCTGCCCATCGCTCCCGTGTCACTCGCACCTTCCTATCAGCAGATCTGTCAATTGCAAGCCGCAAAATCCGCTAATTCGTCACCAGCGCCTGCGGGATGGAAGGAGCAGTGCATTGCGTGCCAGCAATGCGTCATTCGTACCTTCCGGCTGGTCTTGGGTGCCAGCCACCATATGAGGCAGCCGTGCACGTCAACAGCGGCCATGCCGCTTGCTCATTCAACGCTATTGCTGCGATTTTGGTTCCTCGACGTTGGGGGCGGAATCCTGGCCGCGAGACGGAAGACGCCGCCATCGATTTGACACAAACCAATTGTCCGTCCGTCTGTATATCTTTCTGAATCTCCCGCCCTCCCGCCCTTACTAATATCTGTACACACTCACTTTGCCACCACCCGCCCGCTTAGCCACCCACCCAGCCACCCACTTAGCATCGCACCAATATCGGATGCCCGCCCTGCCCGCTCGCCACCAATGCTCGCACTCATACACACACAGATACACAGATACACAACAAATACCGTCCGCCGATCGAGGGCATGCACCGAATAAGCAAATGACATACGCACAGCCGCGTGCACGTCGGCACGCTGTGGTCATGGCCTGAGGATGCCGGTGAATGAGGAGCTACCCGACACCGAGGCGTCCTCGGCCGCCTTCTTGGCCCGCTCCTCCTTCACCTTCAGCGCCGCCTCGATGTAGGCCGGCAGCTGCGAAAAGTCCGCCGTGCTGACCCACGGATGAGCCTGACACACATACAAGTAACACGCGTGAAGATAGTTTCGCGTTCGTCTGTCTTGTGACCCAGACTGTTCAGCTGACCAGTGCGTCTTTGGCGGTGAGTCTGTTGGTGGCGTCCTTGACGAGAACGGCCTGGATGAAGTGAAGACCCTCAGGGCTGACGGGTGCGTCTGGGGGGATGCGGTACTGGCACTCGGCGATGCTCTCGAACAGCTCCTTCAGGTTGGCCTTCTGGAAGGGCAAACTGCCAAACAACACCACCTGCACACGAATAAGACAAGCCGGACATTCACGGCTCTGTGTGTGTGCATGTCCGTGAGTGTTGTTTGGGATCCTTTCTTACCCAGACCGTGACGCCCAGAGCCCACATGTCTGCCGCCCTGCCGTCGTGACCCGAGTACTCCTGACTCTCTGAAGCGAACACACAACGCAGGGGAGAGCCTACAAACAGTTTAGGTGTCCCCTTTTCGCATACCGTCGGTCGGTGTGCAGCATTCGGGCGGCATGAACGAGTAGGTGCCCTCTGTCCCCCTCACGCGGCCGTGCTCGTCCACCTTGGACGCAACAGTGAAGTCACCTGAGCAGCCAGAGGGAGGGAGGGCACATGGATGAGATGACGTCTTGCTGCCCATCATTTTCCTCACCGAGCAGCACCCTGCCCTGAGTGGTGATGAAGAAGTTGTCGGGCTTGATATCCCGATGCACGATACCGTGCTCGTGCACTGACCACATCCACACCACACCCAAAACAGAGACCATACAGGGGTGTGGTCTGCCACCCAAGGCACCCCCCATGTGTCCTCCCCTCACTCACAGTGTGCGATCCCCTCGAGTGCGTCCTTGATGAAGCATTTGGCGATGGGCTCGGGAATGGCCAGGGATCTGCCTCTGCTGGTGGATGAGCGGGAGGAGCACTGGGTGGACTGGGATGAGGCAGGGATCCACTCGCCAGGCACTGGGGCGGTGTAGGTGCCCTCACACTCGTCATAAGTCAGCAGGCTGCCGACCTCACCTAACGTCATGACTAAAAAGGGCCAGAAAGACAGGCAAGAGAGAGAGAGAGAGGGGGAGAGAGATCGTGGATGAATTCATTATCCATCCATTTGTGGGTCCGTCTGTGTTGCGTACGCACTTACCGACGTATATCTTCTGTGAGTCCTGGTGCTCGAGCACCTCCACCAGGTTGACGCATCTCGGGTGGCAGCTGTAGCTCTCCATCATCTCAATCTCATTGTACACCTTGGACAAGGCCGTCGTCACCTGCACACACCAAACACACCCACGGGTCCGTGCACGATCCAATCTGTACATATCGATTGCTGCGTGTGGTTACACTCATGCCGCGGCCCGGTCCCTCGTTCTGGAAGTCCTTTTTGCGCATCAGCTGCTGCTTCCTGAAGACCTTCATCGCCTGATGGATGGACGCATGCCAACAAGACACACGTGGCGGACGGCCCTGGGTCGTCGGGTCAAGCACATGTCGGTCTTGTGAGCCCACTTACGTATCGATTCCCCGTGACTGTGTCGTGGCAGAGCTTCACTCGCCCAAACGTACCTGACCACACCACACACAGAGAGGAGAAGCAAACATGGAAGGAGTTGTTGCATTTCTTCGTCCCATGAATCACACCATGCAGGCCCCTTCCCCACTACCTTGCCCCAGCAGCTCCCCTACGACGTATTGGTTGATTCGCTTCTTGCCGTCTGCATCTCTCTCCTTGGTCACATCCTCCGTTTTCTGGAACTTGGCCTCGGGGATAGGCGCACGCTGGAACAGGCTGCCGCGACTCATGCCGGAGCCTCCCTGTTGCCCGACAAGCGCTGAGGGCAGGGCGGTCAGTGATCAGCGTGCATTCATCGACAGACGAAGATCAACGTGATGTTGCTTCAAAAGGTGATGTTAAAGTGATAAGGAGAGCTGTGGAATGCTCACTTTCCTTTCTCATTTCTCTCTTCCACTCCCCTTTCTCTCTGAGCTCGCAACTGTAGATCTCGGGAAAAACGCCGCCGTGGATCTGTGCGCTGCGTCCGTGTGAGGGGCTCTCAAGCTGTGATCATCACATCCTGTTCTCAAAAGATGCATACGATGAATCACGTGGCGGAGCGCAACGGCGCGGAGCCTGGCGAGGGGGATCTGGTGCTCTTTGACGTGTCCAAGAAGGAGGCCGCCGTGCCGCAAACCAACTTCAAAAAGATGATCCGCAAACTCAGGACAGAAGTGCAGGTGAGAATGCACGGCGGCCGCATGGAGGGCCACACGGGTCTTTCTTGTGTGTTGGGTCAGTGTGGGATCAACAAGGAGCCGCTGACGGCGGAGCGGCTGCGCGAGGCCAAGTTGGTGGTGTTTGCCGGCCCCCGTGAGCCATTCAGTGGGGAGGAGTTCGAAGCCATGAAGGAATACATCGACGCTGGTGGGTCAAACACAGGCGCCCAGAGTGCAGCAATGAGGGCATCGGTCGGTTTGTGCACGAGTGCGCGTAGGTGGGAGCATCCTGATCATGATTGGCCAGGGAGGGGAGGCAAGGTGGGCAGAGAGAGGAAAACCATACCAGAAGGAGGGAGATACGCACGTGTGTACCACTCTGTGTGTGTGTGTGTGTGTTAGGTACCCGACGAATGTGAACTACCTGCTGGAGCAGTACGGCATCTTCGTCAACTCGGACGCCGTCCTCCGCACCGCATTCTACAAATACCCACACCCTAAGGCAACACACTCACACACCCATACACACACAACACCTTCTCGCCACATTGACACACAGACACAACCCCTCAAACCACTCATTCTAGTCCTTTACCTGTCTATGTCAGGAGTGTTTCATCTCTCAGGGGATTCTCTGCCGCGACATCCTCAGATGCGCAAAGGGCGAGAAGAGGAAGGCAAAAGTACCCACACCGACACCTACATGCCACACACATGCGCAATGACGGCAGCGGGTACATTCACCTCCGGCGCAATGGTGTATGCAGGATGCAGGATTCGTGTCGCAGCTGAACGTGCTGAGGGATGCGCCGGATGCCGGGGCACAGATGGGCCAGAGCGCACGATCCGGGCTTGACTTCGTCTTCCCATACGGTGCGGTGAGAACGGACGGACATACGATGGATGGATCTTGCGTATAAGCTGAGTGTGACTGACATTGATGGGGCATCAGGTGCGACGCTGAATGTGCAGAAGCCAGCGGTGCCGATCCTCAGCAGCAGCCACGTGTCATACCCATGCAACAGGTCAACTCAACCAGTCAGTCTCTGACCCAACACACCAACAGCCAGCTCTCCATCTCATCTCATCCTGTTTCTATGCCATGTATGTTGCGTGCAGGCCGGTGGCGGCGGCCTACAGCAGTGAGGGTGTGCGTGGTCCGACGGGTCGGCTGCTGGTGGTGAGCAGCGTCAAGATATTCGACGATGAATACTTCGACAAGGAACGAAATGCGAGGCTGCAGGTCAGCCTCGGCATCAATCCGCCCATTGCCGGCCGTATGGCTGTCCACCTACCTGTGTGGCACTGCCTGTGTGGTCTATGCAGGATGTGTTGTTTCAGTGGCTGCTGCACCGCAACGACTGCGAGCTGTCCTACCCATATGGAGAAGGTGAGAGAGAGACATCACACACACACAGCACGCATAGCATCGCATAGCGTGCCCGTGCATCCATCCCGCTCCGTGTGTGTGTTCAGAGCCCGAGATCAACGAGTACCACTACGCCCCCCAGACGGCCAGCATCGCTGAACAACTCAAGCCATGCCTGCAGGTAGCCAACTGAGCCGAGTGAGGATGTGAATGTGGTGCCTGTGCTGCCGTGTGTGTGTCTGCAGGAGCCCGAGCCGCTCCCTCGTGACTTCACTCAGCTGTTCGACGACTCGCTGTTCCGATTCGACACCTCACTCATTCCCAGCGCTATCAAACTCTATCAAGGTCAGTCAGCCATGTCACGTGCAGGCACCCAGGCACACACTGGCAGCCCGACGTTTTGTGTGTGGTTTGTGGTTTGGTGTGGTGTGTTGTAGAGATGGGCATCAAGCACGAGCCGCTGTCGCTGATCCCGCCAAGCTTCGAGACACCACTGCCGCCACTGCAGCCAGCAGGTATAAGTACTCTTGTTTTCGATGCATGGCATGCATCCGTTGTGTGGCTGTGTGTCTGTCCGCCTCAGTGTTCCCGCCAATCTACCGTGACCCGCCCCCTCCGGCCCTCGACCTGTTCGACCTCGATGAACAATTCGCATCTGAGAGGTACACGGGAAGGCAACCTCTGGGCCGTTTGGCTCAGCGGCTTCCCTGCGCCGTGTGTTTGTTCAGGATCCAGTTGGCTCAGTTGACCAACAAGTGCAGCGACGACGACATCGAGTACTACGTCCGGCAGGCCGGAGAAGTGCTCGCCATCAACCAGGTAATGAACGAAACGGGGCAGTGGACGCACCCCAGACAAGCGATTCCTTCTGAGACTCATGTGTTGGTTCAGCACCTGGGCGAGAAGCGCAGCGCGCGACACATTCTAGAGTACATCTTCAAACAAGTGGTCAGCGCCACAGATACACACAGCAACAAGAGCATATCACCGCGTCCATTGTGTATCTGTGCGTGTGTCGTGTCCATTGCAATGCGGTGTCGCATTCAGGTCAAGTTCAAGAAGCTGAATCCCGACAATGCGGCGCCACAGTTTCAGCCGGCAGCATCAGACGACACCAACCTGGCCTACCACCTGCAGGCCAACCTGATACAGGGGCACCAGCAGCAGCCGACAGCCGCAGAGCCCCCAATCACGAGCTGACGGATCGGTTGTGTAGGTGTGTGTATATACGAGCGAGGGAGGGAGGCAGGGAGTGTGTATGTGTATAGAGGGGCGGGGGTTTCCTCCTACGAGCTAGAGAGATGGTCATCATGTGGGTCTATAGGTTTTGGATGGATGGATGGATAGAGGTGGTGCGGGCAGGTGGACAAACCGCGCCGTGTGTAGCTCCTGTAAGTGCGTGTGATGCGACACGAAAAGTGATGCGACACGATCGACGTCTTGGCTCTTCTTGATGCAAATTACACCAAAACACCATTCATTCGCACCCCCAGGTGTATGTCCTTCCCTCCCTTCCATCGACAGCCGCACACACTGTCATGCATCGATCCCTACCTGTATGCACGCACCCATTCACAGCCGCACACAGGTACAGATCAGCCACACGCAGCCAATTCCCCCACTGACATGACACACACGTGCCGACGTGTGCATCAAGAACGAAGACCAGACTAATCAGAAAACGACTGGTGCTTCAGTCGGCAACACAGTGTCTCTGCAATGCACTTCGACCTGCTTGTCTGCAGGAGATGTCTACCTGCCTACATTCCTTCCCTCTAGTTTTCCAAGTGTCATCTATCCGATGTCTTCCTCGATCCGTCTCGTCCTCTGGTCCATATCCTGGAGCTGCCTTGCCAGTGAGACCTTCTCCGCCTTGAGAGCAGTGATGTCCCGCTGCAGCTTGTCGTGCACGCCCTTCTGCTCCAGCGCGCACCGAACGTACGAGTCAGAGCATTGCTGGACGGACGAGCAGGGATACCACAGAGAGCGTCCTTCCATTGTGTGATGTGTGAGTGAGTGTTTGACTTTCTTCTGACCTCTAGGAGTCCCTGCAAGCTGTCCTTGACCTCCATGAAGTGGGCAGACAGCCGCTGGCCCATTCTCTCAGCGTCATGCCTCATGTCAGCCAGTGTCGGCCGTCGTGCTGCCAGCTCGCTGTCTGCCTCTGATGCTGCCAAGCTCAGACGGTGCTGAGAACGACAGAAGAAAGCGAAAGGCACATCCCATGGCCACATATCCCCCAACCCACTCACTGCAAACGCACTTACGTGTTGATTGCACAGGCCGATGGGGGTGCCGACAGACGCAGAAATATGCGTCTGGAGGCTGGCAGAGGAAACCGTGCCACTCATCCTCGTGTCACGTCATGGGAGACGCCTGCGGCTCCTCCACAGATGGCGCTGAAGCGCCCGCTGGGCTCATCTTCTAGATCACAACGCCTTTTGGAGAGTCACCGCTGTCTAAGAGCTGCTTGCAGTGTGCTTTTGTAGGGACACCGTGGGAGGGAGAAGAGAGGGAGAGGTAGATCTCGAGGAGGGAGGCCTCACTACGGGAGAGGACGGCAGACGGAAGACAGAGGCAGAGTCGCGCGAGCCACTCTATCAGGCAGAAGGCACTCGACTCTGGGGTGGACAGTGGTGAAGGTAGCCGTTTAATTCTCGCCGCAGGGAAGGGTTTCGTTCCGTCGCGAAGTCGAGCTTGCGTCCTTCCGAGGCCGTCGAATGTTTGCCATCACCCCTAGTCTCCTGACGTGCACGTGTCATCGGTGGTTGTAGGCCCGGATTAGCGGAGGACCATCTATCGATGGCGGCAAACCTTCTCTCTATCCCGGTGCCAGCAACGGAGCCTGCCGCACCCCACCCGACACAGAACATCCTCACACCCCTCAAGGCGCGGGCAGAGAAGGTGGCGGCAGACGTGTGGCTTTCGCTGCACAAGGAGATCCAGCAGATCTGCCTCGACATATTAGCCAAGTTCGGCCTGCGGGTGCCAGATGCGCGCGCCAACAAGGGCAGGAGGGCTGGCGACGCCAAGCTGGGCTTCCTGCACGACATTAGTGACGACGCGTCGCTGCCGCAAGGGGAGGCGGAGACCGTCTGCACCGTGCCCTTCATGACGGCCCTCAAGGCGGTCATGAAGCGGGATCTGGACCATGGCTCGCTCAAGACCATCCTCATGTGCCTCATGGCCCTCATCGAGCGGCTGCACGAGGAGCCCGACGAAGACGACGAGGGCGAGGCGTCTGACCTTCCCCTCTCCCTGCCTGTCCCTGTGGCGACCTCCTCACCGGCGGATTCCCATTTCCAGAAGGCGATGGAGCTGCTGTCGCTGCTGTACTTGGCCTTCTCGTACAACGAGGACCGCGAGATCTCCCTGAGGCCATTCCTCTCCAGCCTCCACCTCGTCTATGTCGACGACATCAACAGAGCCGGCACCCAAGAGGCAAACACCTCCAGCGCCGAGGCATCACCACGGCCGAGGAGGACGAATGACTCCAATGGCGGCAGCAGGGAGGAGGCGCGGTCCGAGTCGACGGCCATCGACACCGTGACGAGCTGTCGGTCGTCCCGCACGTCTGAGGCATCCCCCAATGCGGTGCCTGCGTCGGCCGGTGTCATGACTGCCGGGGCGGCGGCGGGCAAGGTCGGACTGCGGAGGCGGCGGTTCTCGGGGTCATTCAGGAGGATGGTGGAACTCTTCAACGCATCCGTGCTGTCGTGCTTGGTAAGCACACGTGAATACCGACCGCACAGCGAATGAAAGGCAGCGAGGTTGATTTGATTTGTCTGTGTGTGTGCGTTTCTTTGACTGTCGTTAATGCAATGCAGGCGCGTATGCGTTACAATCTTCGCGTGAGCGAGGTGTGGTTGGAGATGAAGCAGGACCAGATATCCAAGAAGCTCAAGCAGATCTTCGGCATCGCCCTCCCCCCACCGGCACCCCTCATACCCATCGGCGACAGACCCGTACGATACAACCACAGATACCCCCCTCTACCCCACTCGCAATCCATGCCCCAGTCAGCCCTCCTGCCCCTCACACACGCATCGCCCATGGCCGCCCCTTCGCCATACGGACAGCAGCCCACCGCCCAGCAGATGCAGATGCAGCAGCGGTCGGGGGCTTACTACTCGCCGTGTGAGCCCCCGCTCTCTCCGCCGTCGCCTGGGTCGGAGACTTCTTCTGCCGACGCGCCACAGCTGTGCATGCTGTGGTGGCAGCAGAGGGAGGGGCAGCAGGGGGCGGCAGCGGGGTCGCAGGAGGGTGGTGGTGACAAGGCTGGCCAGCCGCCGAAGAAGTCGGTGTCCGAGGGCAGCACCAACGCGTCGGGGACGGGCAGGAGCAGTGTGGCCTTTGACGAGAAGTCCTTCCTGCGGCTGAGCAGCCTGGGCAGTCTGCCCTTGTCCCATGGCTCGGCGCGGAACGCCCACGACGCCCAGTCGGAGCTGACGACATGCACCCTTTTCTCGGAGTTCGGCCAGTCGTTCTCGTCAGCCACCCCCACACACAGCCACGACCCCAGCCGCACCAGCGACAACGGACCCTCATGCTCCCCCCTACCAAGGGCATCACCCCACGCCACCACACAACGCCCAGCACAGCCGGCGACCAGTAACAACAGGTTCGTTCGTCACCAAAGGGTCACTCACGATCGCGAATGGTCAGCTCAGCTCATGGTTTCCTTTTTTCTGTCAGGTTTGTTGCCTCCATTGACAAGAGGCCTGCGGCACCGTCGGTACCTGTGGCGCCCGTCACGATCACACCGCCAGAGGGCGAGCCGGAGGCGAAGGTGGGCGTGCACAGCAGCAGCGATCCTGCGGTCGGCCATCAGCTGGGGTCGCGTCTTAAGACCATCGTGTCGCTGCCGAACCTCTTCCCGCTGCCCGAAGAACCACCATCGGCGGAGAGGAGTGGAGAAGGTCACGACGACCTCGGCAGGGCAGAGGGCGACCACTTGTCGTTGGTGCCGGCGGCGCCACCCTCATCGCATGACGAGTCGAAGCAGCGGATAGAGGAGCGGTTGAAGCGCCACTTCATGGACCTGTGTACAGACGCCCCTGTGGCCAGCGTCGGGCCATCCTGACACACACCCATGGATGGATGGATGGCTTGACGTGTTGCTGTGTCAGGTGTCCATCGGGACACATGCGCTAGCTGGTTGGGGAGGGCTTACAGAAAGAGAGAGAGGGCGGGGATGGAGGGAGGGATGGAGGGAGGGGCGCTGTGCGTACCTGTGCGTATCTCTCAATGCTTCTCACCTTCTTTTTCTTGGCATGAGGCAGGCAGGCAGGCAGGATGGTGGGTAGGTAGTCACATGGATGGATGGATGTGTATGGATGTGCCGATTGAGTGGTTCAGACGCGAGGCCGCTGCGACTGATCACTGCGGACAGCGGTGCCAGCTGGATGGGTTTGGACGGACAGCAACAGTGGCGTGTACGTTGCATTGCATACACACAGACATACCCAGACACAAGGCAGGCAGCTTGCTGGTATGGTTTTGGCTTTCCCCTCTCTGCCTGCTGACGGACGGTCGGCCGACCGACCGATCTACCGAACAGTAGCGATTCGGTGTGCTGTGCTGACCTGGCTGACTAACTGGACACACTCACTCTCTTGCCTGCCTGCCTGCCTGCCTGCCTGTCTCTGTGCCTGACTGTCTCAGTGGCTGCGTATGTGCCGTGCTGGATTTTGACCGAGAAAGGGGCTGACTGACATGAGCGGGAAAGTGCTGTCTGGGGACGAGATGAGACGAGAAGAAGAGAAGAAAGAGTTGACCGGCGGAGAGATACACAGGGTTTTTTCTGTCTCATGATGGAGTGGATTGCCACTAGAGATCTGACAGCCGGACAGCGGCGCGACCAACAGGAAGAATCTGAGCCAGCCAGCCTGCCGACCTTTGTGTAGTGTCTTGTGTTGTGTTGTGTTGTGTTGTATCGTTTGTAGGTAGCTTGTTTACTTTGCGTGGGGCGGGCGAACGGGCGGTCGAGAGGATGTTTGTCTTGTCTGTCCGTCTGTCCGTCTGTCTGTCTGTCTGTCTGCACGATCGACCCACCCCACCTACTTGTTTGCCTTACTTGCCGTCCGTTTTGACACTTGCATTGCACAGTTGCGTTTGCGCAAGATAGGTAGATCCCTCCCTAGCTAGGTGAAGCATTCAGTGTGTGTTGTGGCTTATGCATGGCGTACCCGACCCGATACATGTATATCTGCCACACGTCCCTTGCCTGCCTGCCTGCCTGCCTCGTATGCACGTGAAGCCGCCCGCATTTTGTGGTTTTTTTTGCTGCGGAGGTGTTGTGTGTGAGTGTGTGCTGGCTGGTGCTGCTGATCGACATACATATGTTCCCATTTCCCTTGCTGCGTGCGTGTGAGCTGACTGAGAGGCGAGCGGAGGGGAGCAGAGGGGGAGGACGACTTATTGAGAGCACGCGCAGGCGGAGAGACAGACAGCACTTTCCCTGTAGACTACGGCTCTTTCTTATATATACCACAGACACTGAAATGAGAGGGGGCCGGGGAGAGGGAGAAAGTCATGCGTGTGGGAATGTACGATGGTGTGTGCTTGACGGTCCCTGCCGTCTAGACGTCTGTCTGTCTGGCTTTGCTTTTCATGGCTTATAGAGCCATCCACCGTCTGGCTGTGCCTGTCTGTGTGTGTGAGAGGGGTGGGGGCGGGGGCAACACATCCATCCATCATTCCTCCATGCAGAGAAGAGAAAGAATGTCGTGGCGTGCATCACATACACCATTCGGCCATCAAGTGGACATCGTGTTGTTTGTACAGCCACCACCTGCCATGCGCACACACACCGACAGACACTCAGGCAGACAACAGAGGCAGGTGATAGGTAGAGCGGGCTTTTTCTGTCCCCCTGACCCTCCGTCACACTCCCTCCCTCCCCTGGCCTTCTACCCGCCCCCCGTGCATCAGGGAGAGAGAGGGGGGGGGGGGA